CCAGCCTCGGGCCAGCTTCCTCCACACCTGCACGTTCGGGGGCAGAAGTGCTAGGCCACCAGTGTCCTGGGCTCTGCCCCCCTTGACACGCTGTTAGGGTCACTTGTTGTAGTTTGGTTTCCATTTTGAGGGGTTGATATTTTAAATAAATTTTGTTCTTAATTATGCAAGATACCTGCATGGTTCCAAAGGCAAAATGCATTCTGAGACATCTAGCTTCTGCCCTTGTGTCTCCTCCCCTGTCCTCCTCTTCCCTGTACCTCATCGTTTTTATCTGTTGCTGGTTTATCTTTCTGTGTCTCCTTTCTTAAATATACGCAAATAGCAACTGCTTTAATTTCCCCACCAATTCTTACACACAAGGAGACTTTGTTGTGCCCCTTGCTTCTTTCACACAGCCGTGTGTCAACCATCCGCTCTCCACAGCTGCGTCCGACCCCCCGCGTGAAGATAACGTGCTTTGTCCAGCCAGCCTTCCTTCTGTCTGTGGACACGTGGGTTCTTCCCGGGCTTTTGATATTCTAGAGGTGCTACAGTGAATCTTATACCTAATATTTTAGGATTGCCAATTAGCAACAATTTATAGGCACCCAGATTAAAATTTGAGAATCTCTATTTCTATGATGTATATTAATATGATGCTTTATCTTTTTCCAGAATACTTTCACAGCTGTGATATCATTTACTCTCACAAGACCCCAGTGAAATGTCATAGGTATTGGCAAAGCCTGAATTCAAGTGAAGGGTTTCCTGTGGGGAGTTAGATAATTTTCTTTTAAGTGTTTGTAGTTCTCTATTCAAACATTGTTTGGTTAGCATCTCTATAAAGCCAAAGTTATGTCTTAAATATGATATTTGTAAGTAATAAAAATGAAATTCTGACCTTTGGAATACTTTGTTGTTGTTTCTAATATACAGCAGTTTTAAAATTTGTCTTCGTAATATGTTTAAACGAGTGAAGTAAACTTCTGAGTCCTCTAGCTCACCATTGACAAGCCCTGTGTCTCCGTCCCATGTGACTGACCCCATTTTAGAATACCAAAATCAACCTCACTGGGTCCAGGAACTATAGGAACAGCTCATGTGTGCAGAGATAGGATTCCAAACTGAAAACGCACCGGCCCCAAGTGCAGATTCCTGTTTCTCTTTGTAACCGCCGTCCCTGCGCACCCGTCAGCCCGCGGCACTGGCAGGAAGTACCAGGAACTGAACCGAGGGTGTGGGAGAATGGGTCTCATCGCCGGCAGGAAAACGTGTGTGACCAGTCAACCTGGAATATTAATCCTATTTTTTTTTTTAAGATTTTATTTTTATTTATTTGACAGAGACACAGAGAGAGAGGGAACACAAGCAGGGGGAGTGGGAGAGGGAGAAGCAGGCTTCCAGCTGAGCAGGGAGCCCGATGCGGGGCTCAATCCCAGGACCCTGGGATCATGACCTGAGCCGAAGGCAGACGCTTAACGACTGAGCCACCCAGGCGCCCCTGGAATATTGATCTCGACGGCCTGGTCTTATGCGGTGTTGAAAGAGCCGAGTCTGTTCACTCGCGGTCTTGAATTAGCTGGATGAAGTGTACAAGGTCAGCCGATGTCCACTGACGGGGCTGGTTCATAATGCAGGGACCACCAGCACACGGACGGACGGGTGTGCAGGGGTGTGTCTGGTGACGGGGACAGAAGCTTCAAAGCAGCAGCGAGCCCGCTGTGTGATTCGTCTGCAGCAGGTGTGGGTGATGGGTGCTCCCAGGGAAGATGTCATGAAGAATAGAGTCCATTTGCCAAAAAGCTCATTCTCTTTATGGGTGTGATATGTCCAGGCCCTGCCCAATGTCTTCCGGCCACATTTGCCCATCTGTGGCACAATTGTAAGCACCCCAAAAAGACCCGCTGCTGCTTGAGACTGATCAGCCCCCCTTCTCGACCACAAGCACCCCCCAGACTCGTCCCGCTGCTGGTCATAAAAATGCACATTTTGCTGGGAATTGGGTCAGGAAAGCAGTCTGATGTCAAGCCTGTGCCTAGTAGTCTCTGAGCACATCCTAACAAGCTTTCGTCTACTCCGTGGATCCATGGTGTTATTAAAGAAGTGACTTAGATCTTCCGACCAAGGAGGGTTATAAAAAGCCCATTTCTCATGTACTCTTTCTCGTTAGACCATGAGACTGCAGTGGCCATCAAGAGGACCCCGGGACTGTTTGGCCACACGTGATCCTCTTTTTGTAAAGGTGCCATCTTTGTCCGTTTGGTCTGCTGATAAACATACCTAACCTGTGATTTTGAGAAATATTCTGGAAGCTGGAAAGCCCAAGGTCAAGGTGCCCGCAGACTCGGGGTGTGGTGAGAGCCCCCTCCTGGTTCATGGATGGTGTCTTCTTGCTGTGTCCTCACGAGACAGGAGGCAGGGGCCAGAGCGCTGGGGTCTCTTTTATTAGGGCGCTGACCCTGTTCATGGGGGCTCCACCCTGCAAAGCCGCGATGCCATGGCCCTGGGGGCTAGGTTTCAGCACATGATGTGGGCGGTGGCACAGTCTGCAGCAGGTGCTACATGGTTCATTCTGTGGTGGCCCCTTAGTTCCTGCCACTTGCCATTTCTCCCAAGACGTGACTCCTTCCCCCAGTGTTGGAAATCTGTCAGAATTTAAACCTGGACGTTTTAAGGAACTGGTGCTCTGGGAACCGTGAAGCCCGTGCAAATGATCGTTCTGTAGGCTGCATGTCGAATCTGATGGCGTACCCCTCAGTCCCTGACGGCGTACCCCTCAGTCCCTGACGGCGTACCCCTCAGTCCCTGACGGTAAACCACAGCATCCAAACCATGGTTCCCACTCAGCCTGGCGGGGCCACGGAGTGTGGAGCTCAGTGACTCCTTGCTGGTCCGAACGAGCTGATTCTCTTCCCTCCTTGCCTTGATGGGGGAGCTCTGTGGACGGACAGCCCCAGGGCAGCTGCCGCAGGGACCCGCAAGTTAGTGCCGAGAAGAGGCAGGCCTGGCATGAAACTGGGTTCCCCCTCCTCGTGCACCCACCCCGAGCATGCAGGTGGTGGCAGAGAGCCCCAGGTAAATCTTGTACCTCTGAAGGAGTGAAAGGATGCTAACATTTGGAGTGCAGGTGGGGTGACCCTGACTTCAAGCTCACTAGGGATCTTTTCATTCAAACTGGGACATACCGCTTTCTCGCTTTTTTAATACTTTATACTTAGCTCATCCTTCATTGTGTCCTCTGGGGCACTTTTCCTTTCACACCTTCACCGTTGGGTGAGCACGCATGTGTCACTGTTTCCCCAGGACAGTTGTCAGGCCGTGGTGACGGGACGTTGGCCGTGACTTTATGCCCAACCACACCAAAGCCCGCTTTCTTTTCGCCCGGTGCCACCGCATGCCTCAGAGTGACCCAGGGTGGCCCGGGCTGTGAGGGGCCACCGCCAGCTGGCCTCCAGGTGTGCAGACACCACCAGCATCCACCAGCTCTCCCTGCACCTCCAGAGTCCCTGAGTGGGAGGCAGGGGGGTTGAGAAAGACGTGGTTGTGGGGGAAGTCACGGATCAGGTGGGTTTCTCTGTGGCCCCTTCTTGGACCAGCTGCCCCACCCTGTGGAGATGGCTGTCCCCACACCCAAGCTGGTGTCAGAAGGGGACAGACACCGAAGGGCGCGGCTGGCAGAATGGCAGAGGCAGGGTGCCAGGGAGTGGGGTGTCCGTCCTGGAGCCCCAGGTGCCATCCCTCCTGCCTGTGTGTCCCTAGAGCAGAGAGCAGACTGCGCCCACCACACGCTGACGTTCGGGAGAACTGCATGTGCGAATCCTCTGTGCTAGAGTGTGTGTGATGCGTGTTTCTGTCCCCCTTAAAACTGCTGTCTTGTCAATCCTCCAAAAGGCTGGAGGGACGTAAAACGGGACAGCTGACTCCCACTGAAGCAAATTGACTCCTTACTGTCTTCCTTGGGGCCTGTTGGAGGCTGACTGGGGCAGAACTCCAGGGGTCAGGGCGCTGCTCCTGTCATTTTCATCGGTTTCCTTTACTGTTTTATATAAAGTCATAGGCTCGAGCCATAATCCCACACCTTTCTGATGGTGTCTCCTCCGTGACGGCCTAGGGTGTCAGCCTGCCGCCTGCACGCTTCTGTGTGAACGCAGGCAGACGTGGGCTTCCCCGGCGGGACTGTCCCCGGGCCCGCGTGAGGGAGCCTGAGCCACCGAGCGCCGTCCGGTGGTGCCTGTGGGAAGCCACGTCCTCCGTGTGCGCGGGGCGCCGTGACTCGTCTGCCTTCTGCTTCTTGAGGGAAAGTCGCAGCTACACGCTCACCCCGTCCTCTGTCCCGCTCCCTTCAGTGTTTGAACACCCTCTAAATGCTTCTCCTGAAACGGGGCCCAGGGTGACCATAAGGTGCACGTTCGCTGGAGAACGGTCTCTGTATGGGCGTTCAGGGCAGAGAACGTCCAGGCCGTGACGGGTTCGCTGTTCCACCGCAGGAACCCAGACCGAAGGTTCTCGTTCGAGGCTGCGAATCAGGTCGTACAGACGTGGGGGGCAGCAGTGGAATGTTGGACCCGTTTCCGGAAACTGGAAAGTGTGCGGTCACAGGCCTGTCGTTGAAGATTTGCCCTCTCTAGAGACCACATCCACAGTGCCCTGGGCCATCTCTGTCCAAGCAGGACTGCTCACAGGGCCCTAACGTAAGCTTCTGGCTCTGGAGCAGGCCAGTGTGCATGTCTGGAAAGGAAGGGTTAGCCCGGCCAGAGGGGCCAGCGCCCTGCCTGTCACCAGACTCAGCCGGGGTGCTTTGAAAACACAGTCTGAATTTGAATTCTAGAGAAACTGCATTTAAAAATGTTTTCAACTGTGTTTTTAATTTTTAAAAATGCCTGTATGCTCTTAGTCTCTTTGCCTTCCCATTTATACAGAGGGGAAACAACACTCATGTGATTCTGTTATCATCTCCTAGTGGCCAAATCAGGGTTCTCCACCAAGACTGAGTCGTGCGTGTTTTTCCTCTGTGACAGGGTGAATCGGTGAAGTACTTTCTGGATAACTTGGACCGGATCGGCCAGCTGGTGAGTACGGACCCCACCCCCCACCCCCGAGAACTGTGAGCCAGGGTTAGGAAGCGTGTGCTTGGAGGCCGGAGCAGCCCCCGGCCCGCGGGTGTGCACACCATCCTTGGGCGCCCTGCGCCCCGCATCCGATGACTGTGGACGGGGCTGTCATGTCTTGCCCTCACTCAGCTCCCGACTCTGGGTCAGCGTGGAGGGAACGTCCGTGCGTGGCGTGAGCATTCCCTCCTCACGTTCTCGCTCGGACTACCACAGAAGACTCAGGGATTCTTTAGTGAACGGAGGATTTCCTTTAACGTTTTATGATGGGAAACGCACACACACACAAGGACAAATCGTCGGATGAGCCTCCGGGCCGCCCTCCGCCAGGAGCACACACATCCTCGCATCGTTCCACAGTAACGGGATCCTGAATCCTGCCCGCAACACCACTGTTGCTAAGATATCCGCAGCATTCCTCGATACCGACCGCCGTCCGGTCTGCTCGGGGATCTGCCCGCGTGTCCCATCCGTGTTTTCGTGCGCGCTGCGTGTTTGGCAGTTGGAATCCGTGCCCTCGTAAGGCCCGTCCTTCACAGTTGGGCCGCGTCACTCACATGTCTTCTACTCCGTAGGTTTCTCCCCCGTCTTCCCTTTTCTCCCCGTTTATGTGGTGAAGTAGCTGGATCGTTCTTGCGGGGGGGCCTCTCGCGCCGGTCGCTGTCTCCCCTGCAGTGTTGGCTCTCTGCCCCTGCTCCCGTGTGAGCGGGCTCTGGACCCAGAGGCCTCATCGCCCCTGTTTGGTTTCTGGCGGGGCCGCTGCCCGCGTGATTGTGCGCAGCGGTCGTGGAGGGTTTTAACGGCAGCGCCACGGTTGCGGAAGACTTCCCAGAATGATGTATTACGTAGATTGCAGACTAAATCTAACTAGCATCGCAAACCTAGATTAAATTAGTTCACAGTAAGGTTTGGGAACGTGCATGCTTTAGAATTCAGGAAAGGACAGAGGTGGCCGTGGGCAGAAACAGACCCGGGGGTTCCGGCAACCTGCCTCGGGCCAGGGGGCCTCTGCTCGCTTGAAACAAGCCCTTATTGCCTTCGCCTCCGTTCCGTGGCCAGTGTCTGATGGTACAGATGAAAGTGGCTTTTGGTGTTCGGTTCAACTTCTCGCCCAAGTGCATTGGACTCTTGATCCTCCTTTCCCGTGTTCTTCTTCTGCTAAACTTTTCCCTTCTCCTGTATTTTACAGAACTACTTTCCTAGCAAGCAGGACATCCTGCTGGCACGGAAGGCCACCAAGGGCATTGTGGAACATGACTTCGTTATTAAAAAAATCCCTTTTAAGATGGTGGACGTGGGCGGCCAGCGGTCCCAGCGCCAGAAGTGGTTCCAGTGCTTTGACGGGATCACGTCGATCCTGTTCATGGTGTCCTCCAGCGAGTACGACCAGGTGCTCATGGAGGACAGACGCACCAACCGGCTGGTGGAGTCCATGAACATCTTTGAGACCATAGTCAACAACAAGCTCTTCTTCAACGTCTCCATAATCCTCTTCCTCAACAAGATGGACCTCCTGGTGGAGAAGGTCAAGACCGTGAGCATCAAGAAGCACTTCCCCGACTTCAAGGGCGACCCGCACAGGCTGGAGGACGTGCAGCGCTACCTGGTGCAGAGCTTCGACTGGAAGAGACGGAACCGCAGCAAGCCACTGTTCCACCACTTCACCACCGCCATAGACACGGAGAACATCCGCTTCGTGTTCCATGCTGTGAAGGACACCATCCTGCAGGAGAATCTGAAGGACATCATGCTGCAGTGAGGGAGGACGCCCCTCGCCCGCGCCCACGGCAGCCGGGCCCGCGGGGGCTCCCCGGATCCGTGCCACCCACGCCCGGCCCCGGAGTGCCGCCGCACCGGCCACGCCGGCCACGCTCCAGGCCGGGGACACGGACACGCGGACGTTAGCTACTGAACCCGGGGCGTAGTCAAACTACTGAGAATCCAAGGGGTCCCTTTGGTATTCACGCGTAATACCTAGTAACACAGCTTTCTCTCTCTCTCCAGAAACTATTCCTTCTCTGACACGGTTTAATCGAGGGTGGAGTGTTGACGGTGGGCGTGCACACGCCTGCACACGCACACTCAGTCACGACAGCACAAACAGCTGGCCTTGCAGACGGCTTTTCCCGCTAACTTGCGAGTCTTCCGTGAGACAGACGAGCCCGAGAGCTTTGCCTCACGGTGGTCTGCGGCGCCACCTCCCAAAGCGCACGCGTTGCCTTGGAAAACCCTAGTGCCGGTTCCTTGAGAGACCCTGGTCCAGGCACCCATGATCTGGCCAGGGGCCCCCAGCTTTAGAGGGTGGGCGTGGGCTTGCCTTAACACCCCACGGCCGGTGCGCCGGCGGTGGGCACGCCTGTTACACGCACCCGCCCTCCCTCCCCCTGGCCTCGCAGGTGACTCTTCTTTCAAGTCCTGACACCTGCAGTGGGCTGTATCCGCCTTCCCTTCTTTCGGAAGGTACTAGAGCGCTTCCCCTTCCCCTCGGGGCTTCTGAACACTGGCAGGATTCCTAGCACAGCCTCTGTGAATGCCGCAGCTGACCTTTCAGAAAGCCCAGACTCTCAGAGTTTCTGCAGACTGCCCCCACCCCGATGCCTTTGGACGGCCGGTCCCCGCTTGCAGCTCTGCTGGGGGTCTTGATTCTTACCAAGGTCTCTTGCTTCCATTCGTGTACACATGTCACCAGCAAACACTGCCGGACATGGCTCTCATCCGGGAGAAGCTGCCCAAGCCCGTGAGTGTGGACACGGGAGGACAAATGTCCCTCTCTGTGCCCTTGCCCACTTACCTTTGTGCAGGCGTCGCTCCCTGGCTGTCAGCACACTGCATCCCAAGCTGGTCCCGCTGTGCGTTCCTCTCCTAGGACGGTGTGTCTGGTGTGTTGGGACTTTCCCCAGCATTGAAAAGGGAACAAAAAGAGCTTCGTCTAACCGGTACCAGACCATTACTGTGGCCCCCGTCCCAAGGCCGTCCTCTTCCCAGTCCTGTGTCCCTTTCACATCTCCCTCCTGGCTCCTTTCCAGCAAGCAAGATAAACAAGAATCTTGTGGCAGATGCTGATCCAGAAGGAAAGGGCGCGCAACCTGCTTCTGAGTCATCCTTGTTATCAGTGTTCATAATGAGGCGACAACATGAAATTCTTTCTCTTTTGGTGCTCGAGGCTTTGTGTCCGTGTATGTTAGAGTTCTGGTTTTTTTGGCTGGGAAAAAAACATGGCTGTTTGTGTACTGCTTCTGGGGCTCCTCATAAACTGAAGGATGTGACCCAGGGTCAGTGCCGATGACCGGGGCTTAAAGGAAAAGGAGCACTCTTGGCAGGCTCCCTCAGGGTGGTCTGGGGTCCTTCCAGCCCTGTCCCCAGGGCGGCGGGCCCCCCCTCACGAGTCACTCACTGTCAGGGCCTCACCAGCTGCCACTTACTGATGGAGGAGCCGTCACCCTGGCCCCGGCCGCTGCCCGCTGGCACTCGGGGCGCCTTGGGCTGGGCTCCGCCCGCCATGTGCACCACGCTCCGGCCCCTTTAACACCGCGGGCAGGAGAGGCGGGGCTGCGTGCTGAGCTGCGTGGGGGGCCGGGCAGGCGCCGCGGCCTGGGTCCCTGGGCGGACGGGGTTGGGGGGGTGGTCTCTGAAGGCCCTGGCTCGAAGTTCTGGGCTTCATCGGAATCGGGGAAAGAAACTTTTTGCAAGGCTCAACTAAAACCATTCACAGCTTCCCCACACATAGACTGTAGTTGTTTTTTGTCTCCAAAACCTTCGGCTTTTGTATTTTTTTTATTTTAATTTCACTGTTATCCTTGATTATTGTCTTTTTTATTGAGTTGTTGGAGAAGCAGGAGATAGTCATGCCTCATCTATTATTGCAAAAATGTAACAATAAACTTCCTCAAAATAAGATCTTTCTTCATAGTTCTACTGTTTACATAGAAGGACACATGTAGGCTTTTCCCTGAAATACCCTTCTATTTGTAGAGAAATGGTCTCAAAGACTTTGCGTTCAGCCTTGTGATGTACAGAGATCTCCAGGATCTGTATTCTTGTAACGTTTTTTACTTCTTGGATAAAAGAAAAATAAGTCCGGTTATTTTAACTCCGAGATCCAAAAATACTCTCAACACAAGATCATTAGTTAGGACTGCCTCGCTTGGGCGTCCTGGGGACAGCGCACACGGACTCAGTGGGACTCGGGGGATGAAGGCGCCCCCCAGGATGCGCGCGGCCCACACGGCTGGTTCACGGCTCCCACTTCACACCCCGCGGGCCTTGGTCGGAGGGCCCAGTGTGGTGGCGACCACCTTTGCTCTGGGTGTTCATTAAGCTCTATCCTCCGCATTCGAGCCCAGCCATTAAGTCAGATTTCTAGTCCCCAAATTCAGAGCCCAACACCATCAATCCTGACTGTACTTGAAGGTTCACTACCCGATCATCGGCCTTTAATCCCGAAAGTGTGCTGCACGGAGCCCGACACACACAGCTGTCTCAAGTACTGCTTTCCGTGAAAGCACCGGAAACACAACTTCAAAGCCAATAAAAGCGTCTTGTACATAGAGACGGGTGTGTGCATGCGTGTGTGAGTGCGTGTGCATGTGCGTGTGCGGCCCTCACGTGGCGTGAGGGAGGGAGGCCCCGAGTGCGGCTCTGAGGTCTGAGAGCTCGAGAAGGACCTGCTGCTGGACCCTTGACGCGGCCTGAGCCCCGCCACCAGAGGGCGCCAGAGGGAGGGGCGGGGCAGGTGGGGAGTCTGCTGTCCTGACCCCCGAGGTTCTCGTCACACTGCAGTCTTTTCCAGAAGGAGGCACGTGGGTGCTGTCCAGCGGCCGTGGCCTGGGTGGGGCACCGCGGTGTACCCGTCCAGAGAAACACCAGTGATGGGCGTGCTGCGTGCTCTGTGTTACCCCAGGGCTATGGGCTGAGCTCTGTGGGTTCCAGTTTCAACACGTGTCAGCGCCAGACAGGATGGTGATTCTCCACGCTGGCGCCGCAGTCCGATCCCCCCCAAGGAGCTTTGCGGAGGCCCCGGGCCGAGCCGCCCAGGCAGGGCCCTCCAGTAGGAACATGGTCTAAGCGGATTCCTGGCCTCCTGGCGACCTCACCGTGCAGCCAGGGCAGAGGGGCCACCGAAGCAGTGGAGCTCCTGGGGGGTTTCTCGCCGGCTGGAGTGTGTGCTCAGCTTGGTGAGAAGGCTGCTTCACCGTCTCCCTCAAGGCCGCCAGCTCTGCCCCTTGCCGGGACCAGCAGCCCGCCTCCAGGGAACAGAGGTGGTTCCTGTGGAGGGAGCTCTGGCCGAGCCTTTCCAGCGTGGGGCAGGCTCCAGTCCTTCGGTCCCGTCTTCTCCGGGACGTGTGTCGGGTGCGCCTTGGCGGCCTCGTTCTGGAACGTCCCTGGAAGCTCGGGGAGCTGGCGTGTGCGGTTCTGTGTGTTGCTGACTCGGCATCGGAGCTGCCAGTCCTGGCTGGGGGTGGTACTGGGCCTGCACCTCGGGGGCCTGGCAGCCCTGGTTGGGGACACTGGGCTCCAGTGTCATTCACAAGGCAGTGCTGGGCCCTGACAAGAAAGCTGTCGGGTCCCCCGAGGAAAGGAGCTTGCTCGGTTCACGAAGACGGTTCCCCAGCTGCATGTGCTGCGTCCCCGTGCTCACGGGCACCCAATGTGCTGGTTGGCGCCGGAGGCTGGGGGGAGGGTGCGGGCCGAAGCTCAGGCGGTGGCTGTGGGTGGAGGGGGGCCTGGGCCGCAAAGAAGCCCCTGCTGTCTCCGCAGTCCCCCTGCACGGTCTGACCCCCACCTTCTGCTGGGGAAGGACAGGGCTCTCAAACTTGGAGGCTGCTTACTCCGTGGTGTTCGGATGGGGTATTAAAATAGCTGGATTTGATCTCCACGCAGCGGCTGTTCTCTTCAGGTGACTCCCGGGGGCTCCTTCTCTCGCCGGGCTTCCCTCCTTGGAGGAGAGCGCGTGTCTGCAGCCTGTCTGACAGCCCTGGCGGTGGTGACGCCTCCGAGCCAGGCCTGGAGCTGCCGGGCCTGGAGCTGCGCTTTGTAAGCTCTGGGCTTTGCCTGATCAGAGATCGTGGAGCTGGTCCCCGGGAGGTTCTGAGCCGTCCGGAGGCCGTAATCCCACATCCAACAGGAAAAGCAGGATGCCAGCAGGAGCAAGTGGGTTCTCAAGTATCTGGGCACGTGGACGTTCCCAGGGGCTGGTGTCCCTGTATGGCGGGGTGGGAATGGGGTGGGCCCTTGGGGCTGTGGGTTTCCAGCCCAGAAGGACAGCACAGAGGGCGGCAGGCTCTCCTTGCCGATTGGAGGACGGGACGGCTGGGACGGCGGGAGGCAGGGGGCACCCTGCAGTCTGACCCTGCCCTGTGGCGGCTCACCCTCCTCGGATCTTACCACTAGGCAGCAAAACATCTTAAAATGTCATTTTGGGCATCTTAGCAGGAGGGACCTGAAGACCTTGGCCCTGGCTGACCGTGAATGTGGCTCAACTGGAAAATGAGGTTCTCCATTTTCAAGCTGCGTATAGAAGGTAGTTTTTCTCTTCAGAGGGTTTTCTGTTTTATGTCTTTGTACCGTGAACCAAAGTGAAACGCTAGAGCAGAGACTCGACGGTTCCTGAATGAGCCCGAATTTGCTATCAGGCCTGGGCACGGGCTCGCCAGTGTGCTGATGAGCCGGACGCGCCGTGCCGGGGGGGCAGCCCTTCTCCGGCGGCTCCTGTTCTGTGACAACAAGGGGCCGTTGTTCAGGCCTGTCACTCGAGGCCTTTTTATTAACCGTGAATTTACTTTATTTTGTGTTTTTAAAAGCTGACGTATTTCCCCCAAGTGAACATAATCCCAGCCGTCCACAGCCACGGTGGAGTTTCCCTGTGGGAACAGCATTCCCCGAGGGCCTGCGTGGACCACGCACCGTCCGGTAAGGCTGCCCTGATGTCCGCTGCAGGTGGGGAGGAGCTTGATGTCCTCCTCCCCCAGGGGACCTGGGACCTGCCCTGAGCGTCGGCCATGCGGTGTGGGCGAGCCAGGACACTTTTCCCAGGCCCACCACAGACGGGTGAGCAGGGCCCTGGCTGTAGTCTGGGGGCGGCGGGTGGGGGCGTGCTTCCGGGAGCACTCACGAGCAGCTCATGCAAATTTGGCCGTTTCCCCACCATCTGTCCTGTTTGGAGCTGAGCTCTTGCTAGACTCTTCAACAAGCCTGCTTACGAAGGAATTTAAAACTGATTTTTCGGGGGCACCTGGGTGGCTCAGTCGTTAAGCGTCTGCCTTCGGCTCAGGTCGTGATCCCGGAGTCCCGGGATCGAGTCCCGCATCGGGCTCCCTGCTCGGCGGGGTGCCTGCTTCTCCCTCTCCCACTCCCCCTGCTTGTGTTCCCTCTCTCGCTGTGTCTCTCTCTGTCAAATAAATAAATAAAATCTTTAAAAAAAAAAAAAAAACACTGATCTTTCTGTGCATCTCTAGAATCAAAGCATCACCTCTGAACCTCTTCCAAATATCCTTTTTCTAAACTCCATTCAAGTGACTAAAATTGGCAGGTTATCCTCTGACCCAATACGGCGTTCCACGCCCAACCTGCGCCCTGCGTGCCTTTCCTGCCCCACCGTGTGGTCCCCATGCTGCAGCCTTGCCCAGGGCTGGGCGCGCGGAGGACCCCGTGAAGGGTCGGGCTGCTGTGGCATCACGCTCCAGTGTTCTCTGTGGAAACCGAGCTCGGAGCCCGTTCCGCCACGGGCAGTGCCCTGGAAGTTCGCACAGAGCCAAGCCTGCCCACGGGGCTGCCGGGAAGCCTCTGTTTATGAATGCCATGTACCAGGTGAGAATCTCTATCGGGAAGGGTAAAAACATGCTGTATGGCCACAGTGGTGGGTGATTTTGATGATTTACTATGGTTCGCCTTAAATTGCCCTTGCTTTCCCAGCGTGTTGCATCCCGTCAAACACCAGCTCCCGCGGCCACGGCGTGTGATGTCTCTAGATGGGAGAACACAGGTGACCGTGGATCCTGGAGTGCACGGTTCGTGGGGCGGACGCCGTTCCAGAAGCCAAGGCCTCCCGCCGGGTCTCGTGTACGTGTGGCCGCCAGCAGGAAGGTGAGGTGAGTAGGTGCTCGCAGCCTCGGATCTGGGCCCTTGCTGTCCTCTGCCTCTGTAAGCCTGTCCCTGCTTGCCTTTCACCCCCTCCATGCCGCGCCCGGCAGGTGCGCCCCATCCTGCCGGTAATGCTCCACGCAGCCTTGCAAGTGTGGATCCGCAGCGTGGATCGAAGGTGAGCACGCGGCCGGGCGACAGTGTGGAGCCCCCGGCCTCGAGTCGGAAAAATGCCATTGGTAGTAGTAGTATGAATAGAAATAACAGCCACCCACCTTGTCCCTTGAGAGGTACAACCTTGACCCCAGAACGCATGGAAACGGGGAATGAGCCGGTGTGATAAGTAGGATTCCTAACCCTCCGGGCAGGGACGTGAGAGGAGCGGTGCCTCAGGGACATGCACCGCGTGGCTGTGTGCGCGGGTGAGGGGCCAGAGCGCGCCCCCGCCCGGTGCCCTGTGCACCTGCAAGCCCAGCGGGTCCGGCGGGCACCTGCGTCCCAGCAGGAAGGAGCACCTGCTCGGTTCAGAGGGTAGAAGCTCTTGTTTGCAGCTGGATATCTCCCCCTCCCTCCAGGCTTTTTCTTCACGTGCATTGACAGCATTTATTAATTTTAAGAACGAAAACGTAATGCATAAGCGGTCCAGAAAATTTGAACTGTGCAGAACTTACTCTGCACGTCAAAGTCCTCGGGAATCTTGGTACTAAGATGCCTACGCTCGGGCAAATTTCCCCTTGGCTGCGGGACTTTTATAAACACGGACGATGCCAATCTAGTAGTTTAATCCGGTTGTGCTGGCAGCTCCTGGGATCAGGACGCAGCGGGGGCCATGAGCGAGGCCTGCAGGGGGGCAGGGACAGGCTGCAGAGGGCAGGCCCCAGGGCAGAGGGGACGGGAGGTAGCTGGGCGGGGCCCCCAGTGGTGCCGGACTGACGGCCAGGATGCCACTGTCCCCGCCTCCCCTGAACCGCCTCTCCAGGGGGACCTTCGGGGGAAGCACCCAGCTCATTCCTGAGGGACGTGGCTGGAGTGGGGCTGAGGCCCGATTCCAGAGGAAAGAGCTGCTGCGGGGATGTATACCCCTCCCTGTCTCTTTCGTGCTTCACACTTCGGGCAGGCGGACGGAGCTCCTGTGGGTCCTACTGGTGACGCTCGCTGGCTTCTCTCAGAAAAGGCCCTTTCTGCACATTCGGGCCCTGCACGGTGCTCTCATTCTCCTCCCGGGACCCCCGTGCTCCCAGCCCTGTCCCCCGGCTTGTGACTCACGTGCCTGTCCTGTGCAGCCCCCAGGAGCATTCCCCAGGCGGGCCAAGGGAGGAAGGCACCAAGCCGGTCTGAGGATCTCACGGTGGAAGGCCTGGCCACGTGGGTCAGGCACACTCCCTCTGACGTTCTGCCCTTACTCGAGCCGGTGTGGCGAGAAACAGCGAATCAGCGTTCATGGCTAAAAGTCCGAATGAGGGAAAGGAAAGTGATGTCAGGCCCGGACAGGATCCTGCAGCCCGGAAGCCCTCTGCTCTGTCGGCCACCTGTTCCGGGGGCAGGTGAGTGCGTCCCCACACGTGCCACGTGGACTGGGAGCTGGTGGCGAGCAGACCTCAGGCCAGTGAGAGACCCGCAACCCAGCCTTACAAGCGTAGGGGGGCCGAGTGCTGGGAGGAACGTGACGCGGTGCTCAGCATGCCGGTGGGACCTAGAAGTCCCGCATTGGCCGCGGCTGAGAGGTGACGTTTAGGCTGCAGTGTAGCCAGAGAGCTGGCCTGGAGGGAGGGGACAGCACCAGAGCGGGGGACACCGGGCCTGGCCCAGTTTCAGTGCCTCACAAGTGTGTTAAGATGCTCGGGTAGCGGCCACTTGGGTCGGCCTCACGGGGAACCTGATTGCGTTTCTGGTTCGTTCTTTGGGCGCCTGGGGTCATTTCAGAGGTGGGACGTGGAGGCCGGTTGCAGATCCCACTGGGGCGCGGGCTACGGCTTTCAGCCACCTCCGATGAGCGAGTCCGCGGGTCACCCTGGTCATCACGGGTGGGGGGAGGGGGACTGAGTGCATCGTGGCCCCAGGGTGTTTCTTGGAAATTGCTTTTTTAAATAAACCCCTGACTAGCTTGTTTTCATTTGCTTCTGTGCCCGAGAAGTTCAGAAATAGACAGTTATTCTGGGATCCCGTGGACCCAGGTGCTGCTGGGCGGTGCTGGGAAGGGCTGCGCGAGCCGTCTCGGCCAGTCCTGCCCGGTGACCCGGCCGCTCTCCAAGCCTCGCTTCTGGATGGTGGCATGGCCCGCGACTCCCAGTTACCCTGCAGCGTTAGCTTTCTCTCTGAGGGCTTCACGTTTGCTCTTTCCTCGGGCGTCCGTGAAACCGGGTTCCTGTCCGCGTATGGCTGCCCCACCGTGACCTGGAGTCGTCCAGGGCTGTGGTGGCCTCCGTGGCCCCAGCTCTGGGTTGGGAGTCGCCGGGTGAAGCCCTGGCACCCCCCCCGCCCCCCGGTCTTCCCAGAGGTACTCCCACTCCGCTGGGGACTCGCTCGCTCTGGACAAACAATCCGTGGAGCCCCAGGGACTCGGGCTCTGTGTAAGCTGGCCCTCGCCCCAGCGTGCCAGCCCCCCACTCACGCTGCACCCCGGCCTCCAGGGAGTCCGTCCAGCAACGTGCTGCAGCTGCCAGGGCCTCCCGGGAACCTTGGAACCGGGGCCCCGACTCCCTTTCCTGCTCAGACTTACCTGCGTGCTTCCTCAGAGAGAGCCGCAGGGACGAGGGACGTGAGCAGGTCCCCGGTGCCTAGACAGACTCATTCGAAGGGCCTGTCCCTTCCCAGGTGGATTTGGGTCTTGCGGCCGCCCCTGCCTGTTGGGTCTGAGAGTAGCTTCTCGAGGCCGCAGCTTGGACCCTGGGTGTGGGTGCGTGTGTGCACCCCTGGAATGGTGTGGCCCCCCTTTTGGCCTTGATGGGATCTAAATTTGGACTCTCAGCTTCAACATTAGCTGCTTGGCTAAGGCAGGGCATGTTGGGGGTTATTTTTAAGCCCTTCTGGGGAGTTTGCTCCTCCGGGAGGGGCTGAATCTGCTGTCCCATGAGACTGTGTGGACAGGCCCCCCCCCCCCATGCCCTGGCCCTGTGGGGGCCGCAGCGGGGCTGCCAGGAGAGGGGCTGCCCTGCACCAGCCTTCAGCAGGACCGTTGGGATGGGTGTTGAGCTGCTTTGGAAGGTGCATAGGTTCCTGCCCCCCCACACACAAGCCGCGGTACACGTGATGTCGTGACCCCAGAGTAGCTGTAGCTCCGTTCACGCCCTTGGGGCCACGTGGGACTCACGGGGCCCGGTGACCGATACGGAGCTCGAAGGCGATACAGTCCATCGTGTGTGTTTATTAACAAAAGCCCGGGCCCGTCGCTTCTCGGAAACCATGATGTGGGGTTACCCGGTTCCGCTTGGGTGAGGTGTGTGGCCGTGCCGGGGCCCGGGACCGCGCTGGGGCAGACGGCGTGCGTTCCATCCTCCGCCAGAGCCGCCGTCCCTGGGGACCGCCCCCCCCACCAGCCTATTTGATGCCGGAAAGAATCTCTCTTAGAGTTTGAGTCTCAAAACATTCCCCCAGCAGCTTTCAAACCGCTGTCCGTGTGCAGCCGGGAGGCAGAGTGGACGGGGCGGCCCCACCCCACGGCATGGGCTCCGCCTGAGCGCCCCCTCCCCGCTCCTGAGCCAGGGCGTCCTAGCTTCTCCTCCGTCGCCTGGGGACCCACCTTTTGCAGAAGACGGAAGGAAACTGGGACACAGGTAACCCGACGGAGGTGGCAAGATGGCCGATCCAAGCCACGCTCACAGACCGGGCAGGTTTCCCCTCACCCCTGCTCTGGCTGGAAGGGGGCACCCAGGGCCCCTCCCCGTGGAGCCGGGTGACAGCCGTGCTGGGGTACGGTGGCAGCGAGGCTCTGGGGCGCTCCTGGGGGTCCTGCTGCCTTCCTGGCCATGCTGCCCCAGCCCCGGCAGCCAGCTCTCCGTGAGGCCGACCTTCCTGCTGGCTCTGGCCCCAGGCCAAACGCCTGAGCTGAGCTCGGAGCAGAAGGTCAGGGCTCTAAGGCGCGAAGGGTGGGGGCTGTGTTCGCAGCAACAGATCCCCAGGTGCAGGCCTCCCTCTGTCGGCTTTCCCCCCTCCCTCCATGACCTCCTGGTCACTGTGATGCTCGCGGAAGCCAGGACCCAGCCCTGGAGCCCGCGCCCTGCGGGCCTGGGACCCTGCACCCCGCCTGGTGTCCGCCGACAGGAAGCCTCAGGCCTGCTTGCGGGGGGAGGCGGCGGGGAGGCGGGCGGGACCCTAAATCTGGAGTATGTTTTACACTCTTTTCCTTAGAAAGCCCCCAAACTGTAAGCTAGCCCCGAGTGTACGAGCACCCGTTCCTGCCTCTTTCCGGGAGGGAGAAGCAGCCGTGACCACACTCGATGCTGCAAGAACGCTGCTGTTGGCACCCACAGCTTCTCTCCCTGCAGCCGCGGGGGACGTTCGAGAACAAGGACGGAGCAGGCAGACGAGCGTGCACGCCGGAGCTTCAGCTGCAGGAAACACGGGGTGACAGAATCGAAAGGACACACACACCCCGGGCAGGCTGGCCGCCTTAGCGTGGCTCGCATTGGACGGAGTCGGAAAAGTCCGTGACGACCCACAGGTCATGAGCGATGCCATAAGTGCCAGGACCGGGGACCCCACAGGCCGCCCTTGTCCGCAGACCGCACTGTTCTCACCTCTGCGGGGGACACGGAGGGTCTGTCACTGTGCCCCTGCCCGCGCAGGGTCGACAGAACCGCCAGCCCCTCGCTTTCCCCGGGTGTGTAGACAGGCTCCAGCCCCAGGCAGCCCCTGCCCCCGGCAACCTGCATTCCAGCCGTGCAGGCGAGGGACGTCCAGGCCCAGAGCCCCTCGTGCCATCCAGGCAGGGCCTGAGGACCCTCTGCTGGGACCCGGGGGTAGGATGCAGGCCTGCAGCTGACCTTCCTCTGCTGCCCTGGAGAGCACCCCTCCGGGCACCCAGGCTACACGGCGCTGGACAGATGGGCTCCCGCGTTAATTCTCCTCTGCCCTCCAGCGACCGGGGGACGATCCTGCCTTGGACAGTTTGCATGTGCTCAGTTTCCTCCGCAGGGAGGAGAACGTGCCCCCCAGGACCCTGCGCAGCCGCATGCCGTCTCGGCTGCAGGGCAGGTCCGGCCTGGGGGCTGGGAGCTGCCCTGTGAACATCTCCCACCCGGCCAGGGCGTCCACGGCCCCGTCCACCTGCACCAGTTCGTCCTCCGTCACCTCGCGCTCCAGGGCCTGGATGCACAGCGCCAGCCACCGCCCGTGCTCCTCGATGGCCTCCCATGGGGGTCCGAGCGGCAGCGGGCTCTCAGGGACGGCCAGCGAGCCCAGCCCCTCCTCGGGCTCCAGCTCCGGCCCCCCGGAGAAGCTGCGGCTCCACGCATCGGGAGTCAGGGGCTCCGACAGGCTGCTGCCCGGCTCCGACGTGCTCCCGCAGCTCAGGCCTGAGTCGGCGCTGCTGGGGAGGGTGTCCTCCACCACCGAGGGCAGCCCTGCGTCCGGGCTGGGCCGCGCCCGTGTCCCGGCTTGCGTCCAGGCGTGAAGTCTCTGGGAGGGAGAGACAAGGCTGGGTTTTCTGGGTGCCGTCACTTTAGCCCGGGCACTGTCCCCAGACCCTCCCAGGCTCGGCGCCACCCGGGCCCACGTGCACATAGGAGCGGTGCACGCCCAAACTTCAATTTAACTCAAACTGTATTAAGCAATAAATACTCGAAAGTCCTCCCTCTCTACCTGGTTTTACTTCTTTTCCCTCTGATCTCTGCTCTCAGGTCTCTGGCGTCTGCACCATGGACACGCCTGTGACCACACACTCGGATGCCCCTTCCCAGCGCTGCCCCCAGCGTCTCCCCCGCGCCCCGCTGACCAGGACAAAGGGACAGCAGGGACCATCCCTGGTCTTCCATCAGTGCTCGGTCACTGCCGCAGCATCCAGGGACTGGCTGGGGACAGACCCGGGCTCCGGGGCCCCCCTCCTCCGAGCCCCTCCAGTCACGTGGGTGAGGTTCTGGGACAGGCTCCCTTCCTGGTCAGGGGCGTGAGTGGAAGGTGGGAGCAGAGAAGCCACGAAAGTTGGGGCAGGTGAACGCAAGCCCAGGAGGAACGCAAGTGAGGATGCTCGTGCTTTTCACAGGCCGGAGCCGGCCCCCTTCCTGTACACCTCCCAGCACGTCCCAGCTCCCCTCTTCCCGCGGACAGCCATCAGCCGCTCCCCCCACGCCCTCCACGGGGCAGCGTGTGGGGTCCCCCCTCCAGCTGGGCTGCCCCCTTCCTCGATAGCCCATTCCCCAGAGTCACTCAGAAAGGATCTGCACGAGGAGGCAGCTCTGGGACCTGGACACGCCCAGCCCTCTAGCTCAGCGGTCCTCAAAGTGGGGTCCCTGCCCAGCAGCACCCCCCGGGAGCCTGTGAGACATGCAGGCCCTCCCCTCCCGAGGGGCCGGGTCAGAACCTGTCCCCCACGGAGTCTGGCACCCTGACCTTCACCAGAACGCCACCGCTTACGGCCCAGGCTGCCGTCCTCCAAGAGCAACGGGGGGCTTCCCAGAGCCTCAAACATGGCTTTGGGCTGGAAACTAAAATTCAGCCAGAGTGATTGTGTTGATAGGCCTTAGTACACACCCCCCTGCCTTTGGACTTGGACTCAGAATGAAGTTTGAGTTTGCCAAGCCCTCCTCCCCGAGGAGGAGGTTCCTTCCCCCGGGCAGCTGCTGGCCCGTCTCCCTGGGCCTCGGGGCGGCCTGGGGAGCCTGCTGCAGGCAGCACCTCAAGGTGACAGCAGAGGGCAGCATCGCCCCGCGAGCTCAGCCTGGCCACCTCCCAGCATGTG